ATAAAAGATTATTATTATTGCATTATTCATTCTATAATTAGTACCTATCTATAGCAAAATTGATAAGGTAGATAGGTGTATTCTAAAACAAATATTAAAAATTTTTGTTTATTTTCAAATGCCTAGTACCTTTATTTTCATTACAGGCATTAGTTAATTTATAATGAATTTTTAACAGCTGAAACAATTTTCAGATGTATTTCTTCAAACCAACATTGGTATAAAAATATGAGTAGGTACATGTATATGTTTGTTGTTTTTTCAACAGTGCATTTAAAGTAAATGGTAAATAGAGGTCGATATTTTCTGTTACCATCGAGCCGAACGTCTCTAGTCGCTAATATTGTGTAAGCACATATTGAATTTTTGTTTATCTGATACAGAATTTATAAACTATTTATCGTTATTAAACAAAGTTCATTAGAGGATTGAGATGCGATATCGTAACAACAGATACATCAGAGATAACTTTAGAAAGACTACTATCTAGAATTTTATAGGAAAATTGTATCATTTAATAAAAGAGCTTTATCATATAGTCTTAGAAATGCTAGACAAATTTCTGAAACAGTGGATTCTAGTAACCTTATATTTAACTCTTCTACATATCGATTGAAACGCCAGTGGAATTCTCTTCCGAAATCTATTAGGAATGAAGAATCTATTGGTGTGTTCAAGATTAGATTACGATCATATTTGTTTAATTTGTAGCTACTCGCAATATCAATCTATTATAGTATATTTCTATTTTTGTTACCTACATGTTGTAAAAGAGATATTTTTATACTTTTCTTATCGAAGTTGTTACCTATTTCTGTGACTAAATGTTAAACTTTATATGCTGATTGGCAGTGGATTTCTTGCCGAAAATTATAATCTTGCTGTAAAGAACCCTCGGGTTCGTTGAATAAAATAAAATAAAAAAATAAAAATTTTATAATGACTAACTGATTAATATACAATAACTAGATAACGCAGATAGATATTTCGACTTAATTACCAATTAGAAACTTTTATGCTGATGATCCTGGTCAGAACTTATAAAACGTATAGAACATCAAATTATTGTATTTTCGATCATTTTTCACACGTATTTAAGACATCAACGCGAGCAAAGCCGTGGATAAAGCCTTGTAATAAATAAAAAATAAATGAATTCTAAACAGTCGAAATATTACTGAAATTCTTATCACATATAAAAAAATAAATGGCTTTCAGAAATGATAAAACTATTTAATCAACGTGCATTTAAACAAGAAAAAAACAATAAATATTTTTCTTATCGTTTCAATTTTCAAAATCAATTAATTCGCAAAAATACTTTTTATTGTTATTCGGTCTCCACTTTGATAAGATTGTAAAGATGCCAAAACCCGTACACAATAACTAAAAATAGCATACTTTGAATTTTTAATTCCAGGTTTTGTCTGATAATCAAATACCTATCAAAGAAATATGATATATCTCCTTCTCTTCCTCGACCAACATAAAGAAAAGGATATTTTTAGTTTCAAGTGAAGATATATTTGTTTCAATGTATGTACATCGATTGCCTATTAGATATTTAGAAAGTTTGCAATTGTTTTGCATGTTTTTTTCTTTTTGTTTGGAATGGGAATTGATACCATTCATATTTCGTTAAAAATGGTTTACAATTAGACGTTTTTTCCTAATAAATTAATGAAGCCTAACAGTTCTATCTATGTTTGTATATAAAATTCTTCACAAGTAATATGTAAAATTAAAAAAATTGTTTTTACTGACAATATATATTTTCTCAAAAATAGAAAATTTGAATAACTGTCAGTTTTTCAATTTTAACCAGTAAACAGAATTAGTCGAGTAATCAAGAAATNTTACTGACAATATATATTTTCTCAAAAATAGAAAATTTGAATAACTGTCAGTTTTTCAATTTTAACCAGTAAACAGAATTAGTCGAGTAATCAAGAAATTATGTCACCGTTATTATCGATTATTTGCGTTACGATTAAACAAAAGATATCTCTGGAAAATGGAAAACACACCTAAACGAACACACTACAGGAATTCGTTGGGATGTTTGGATAAAGAAAAGATAACGTAATGCTATCTATAGCCGGTATATATACAACAACACATTTCACACTTTCCTATCAATAAGTTTCAAACTGTCGATAGGTACTGTTGATATATAGCAACAATTCAATATGTCAGGTAAGTGCAAATTAATTAATAGAATCAACATATTGGAATCATGTATACTAAATATACAACTAAATTGTTGACGAATTATTCACTAATAATAAATATAATTAATTAAAAAAACCTTTCCTATTGAAGGTCACAATAAACTTTTTTCAGCAATTTTTATTTAAATAATTAAAGTATTATTATTGATATTTTCGAGTTTCAGTCGTGTAGATTTTAGTATGTGCTCCGAAGAAGTCAACTACAAAGCTTATGAAACGTCGGCGCTAAACAAAACTCACAAGACGACTGAAACCCAAAAAGATCAATAGCAATACAATGACTACTGATCATCATCAATGTCTAAAATAAGCAATTAATTTAATAAGCCTATTTTACTAAATGAAAATTGTAAATCCATTAAAATTAACATGTTATGAACAGTCAGAATCTTTAGAAAACGCTAAAATCTCCGAAACTTTCTCAAAAAATTTGTGTTCCGAATTAAAACTTCATAAAAATTAAACTAATAAAAATTACTTCTAGTAATTTTACTCTTCTTGTTATTTTTCAAAAACATACTTTCATTTCATGATAAGAACTTAATTGTTTGTTTGTGACCTCATAAATCACTTAGTTTTAATCCAGTAGATGTACATTCTGGAAATAATGTAATGTGATAACTATTAATCTATATCACCCATCGTCGAATGACCTAATCAAGATATAACACAGAGTCTATAGTCTGATATTTATAATAAATAACCGGTTTTTAATTTTACGTGACAATTGTTTCGCCAAACATTGGCATCTTCAGAAGCCGAAAATTGTAATTCGAGTTTGTAATCGTGCCCAAAAATTAAATGATCTTGTCTCAAAAGTCTATCGGAAATGATAATCTGCGCAAAGATTTTGTTTCGTGAAGAATTTCAAGATCCAAAAAATTAAATTAAATTTTTTTTTTTGAATCTAGGACCAAGCTATTACTGGATGGAATGGACGGCTGACAGGCCTGTACCACCAACCGCAGTTTCTGGCGGTAAAGACGCTGACGGCTCTCCAATTTATGTTGGAAGAGCTCTTCATGAAAGAGATTGGATTCCGGCAAAGGTTATACCAGACAGAAAGGTCGCATACGTCCCTTTCGCCGGGGGTGAACACGTTAAAACAAAGTTCCAAGTAAGTATATATATTCTTGCTGCAAGAACAAGACAACGCTAGAATTTCTCTTAGCAAAAGCAAGATTTCTGGCAGTAAATGCAGATATTCTGCTCCCTACCAAAATATTTCTTTCCAAATTTAGACAAATCGAACTTTAGAACTCCCCAAGCCATCACGAACATGAAATCATCATCATCATCATAAGGTCATCAGTCTTAAGACTGGTTGGACACGTACCTCCACTCTTTCCTATCCTGAGCTAAACTTCGCATTTCCCTAAAACTAGAACAGCCCACATCCTTAACTATTTGCGAACAGTAATCTAATCTAGGTCTACCTCTACCCCTCCTGACTCCTGTTTCTGCCTCTAATATATCTCTGACTAGACCTTCATGCCTGAGAAGGTGTCCTACCAACCTATCTCGCCTATTTTTTATTGTCTTCCATAGAGTCCTCTGTTCTCCTATTCTTTCCAATACCTCTTCATTTCTAACCTTTTCTACCCACGATATCCTCATCATCCGCCTATAACACCACATTTCGAACGCTTCTAACCTTTTCTTTTCCGCCGCTCCCACTGTCCATGTTTCGCACCCGTACATGAAATAGCAAGTCAAAAATCATGCCAGAAAGAACTTGACAACAATTAGAATAACTTAGATACCAAGCAAGACAAGAAATCTTTCTTTGTGAATCACTATAGTAAAATGTGATATGGAATTGTTTTCTGTTTAACGTTTTGTCGCATCTTCGGTGATGTGCCACAAATTTTAATGGCAGCGCCTAATCAATTTCAATTTTCTAGATATTATGTGAACAAAAATTCGAATGGGTGCCTGCTGAAAACGGTCACGTACCCCCTGGCGCAGTTGAAGGTGGAAGAACTTCTAACGGAGAAATCCTTTACATCGGAAGGGTTTCCCACGGCAAAGCCCAAACCATTGGAAAGGTATTTACAAGAAGCAAATGCTTTTAGATACTAAACTTAAAAACAGTTTCCACGTCCAGCATTATATCTGAATAATGCTTGATATCCATGGCTGACGATCGTCATCCAGGACTGTTCTGCTTCGGTGAGAATATATTTTGGCATTCTCAAAGAACATAACAAGGTAGAAAAGTACTTCACTATTATTTTACAAATACCAGATGGACATCACAATGAATAAATAAACAACTCCACCGAAGGAGAAACAATCCATCAAGTCCGAATATGACGCATTATTCAGACAGTTTCCAAAGTTAAATAAAATAAAGAAAAGAACAATTGGGGGTAGATTAACTGTTATATTTAAGTATACTAATTTAAATTTACTGAAATACTTTTCTTGTATGTTTAGATTCAACCCAGCCACGGCTGTTTATACATCCCATACGATAGCAAAGAGCAGAGTTTCAAAAAATACGAAGTCTTAGTACTAATTAAGTAAATATTTTTTTTATAAATACTGTATGTTCAAAAGTGTATTAATTTCTACCAATAAATGCGACTACCATTTTATTTTACAAAGGTAATATTTCTTTTTTAATGAGTTTGTTTTTTATAAATACCCTCTCAATTCCACTTAAAAAGGGAAACAAATTAGACGGAGTTACCCATGGTAGAAACCAAAGTCAATCTAAATTATAAAGAAGTAAATAAACTAAAAAAGTCGCCAAATTTACAACTACAAATTTATTACTCAGGACACGTCTTTCACCCACTTCTTAAGGTAATTTGGGCAAGTCTCTTTTTAGTTTAATTAGTAATTTACTACAGTCGCCACTTTCTACAAAGAGCGTTAATTAAATTTTCTTGGTCTTAATTAATCATCGAATCTACCAAACATAGATCGCGACTTCAACCTTATTTTAGTACTCATCAGCACAACATAAGCAGTTACCTTACATAAAGACCGAATTACATCAGTAGATGGCGACATACTACCTTTAACTACCTTCAAATATAAAAATTTTTCAAATCAAAATTTGGACTTTTGCGAAAATAAAAAATTGATAATTTTATCAACGATGAGAGGGACTTCTGCGAGATTAAGATTAATCAAGCAAAATTACATTTTAATAAAAACAAAAAAACGATATTAATCCAATTAAATTAGTCTTTAGCAATGATTTTTGACAGTTGAATATAGGTATACTTGTGATTACGATAAGATATAAATATCTTTAATACCACTTTGTATTCAGTAGCACGACTGAAGCAAACTTACAACCAACTTTAATTCTATATTGGTATCAAGATTTGTCTAGCATCCAAACCTAACCGTAAGTTTTAATCTAGAAATCACAAATATGATTTGCGAAAGTACCTTGGATCCTATTTTGTTTTATCGTCATTAGTGTTTTTTTTTTTTTAATTGTTATACGCAATTTAATTTTAATTTGTCATATAAAGTTTATGAAATACTATTTTGAATCGATAGCATAGACAACGAAACAAATTAATGTTAACAGATAAATGTAGATGTTTCCAGATGATCTAATTTGGGAAAATTGGAACTCTGATGAGAGTCTGGAAGTCCCACCTAATGCCGTTTGTGGAGGTATTGATGCTGATAGAAGTAGGATCTACATTGGAAGAGTATTTCACGAAAATCATTTGCTTCCTGCCAAGATTATACCCAAAAAGAAAAATGCATTTGTAGCCTACGGAGGCCAGGAACACAAAAAATCATCTGCCCAAGTAAAAATCCTCACCTTATTAAACATTACCAATTCGGTAGCAAATCTTATTCAAAGGGATTTCGCTTGTATTTGAGGAAATAGAACAGCTCAAATTACCATAAATCATATTAATGCATTAATATTTTTAATTGATATAAAACACGATCAACCTCACGGAGAAAACTAAATTTTTACGACAACGCAAAAATCCCAATTTTCGATTGTAAATTTTCCGCAGAAATATGCAGTACAATTTATTAGGTAACTTGTAATAATCTCAATTTTGACTTGTTTCTTTAAAAATTATTTCAAGTTTTTTAATTATTACAATTAAATTTGTAATATCAACTAANCGTGTAACCTCATCTATGAGTATAATCATAGAGCATAGATTAGATCATAGAGTCTAATCATAACCCAATTTTTTTTTGTTTTGTTATGTATAACAACAAACTTTATTTAACATTAAAAATGTAATTATGAAGGTATACGCACTAATTAAATAATATGCATTGTATTTTCTCCGTGCTTTGAATTCAACAAAATTCTAAACGTGTATGTAGTGATATTGCAATTGGTCTTCATGTGTCTCAAACGCCAAAAATTGGGAAAAATCTTTTAATTATTACGTTTTCAATTAAAATGGTAATTTACCATTTTTTCTCATTTTCTTGTTTTCAAAATTTCAGATTTTAATTGAAAACGATCAAAATCGCTTTGAGTGGATAGAAAAGCAAGGCCCCTCAATTCCGCCAAATGCTGTAAAGGGAGGAACAACAGAACTGGGAGAACCCTTATACATTGGACGTGTTTGGTTTAAGGGTTCAAAAACAATAGGAAAAGTAAGAATACCTAATTAGAATACTTAAGTAAGGACTATTAAACATAAAATTTTAGTGTGAATTCATAAAAATCCCTTTAATATTGCGCCTCCTTTCTATCTCATCGATGATGATCGATGAATCCAAACAGTGCAGCCGGGGAATAACCGCATTTTCCTTTATCAATATAGCCTACCTCTGAAAAATTCAAGCGAGGCAGTTCCGCATACCTTGGTTTTTACCTTTTGAATTGCTTACTTTTAAAAATGTTTTACAAATAATCAAAAAAATACTGCTTAAATTTACCTTTTGAAGATATTTCTCTAGTACCATGATTTTCGGACAAAGTTAATTGTACCATTTTCACACAAAAAGTAGTTCTTATTATTTAAAATAGATTCACAATTATAAAAGTCAACGTTAAAGATGCGAAAAAGCTACAAACACCACTTACCACGACTTTTTACCGACTACAACCTACTACGCTACTACGCTGTACCACGAGCAGTACTCAGAACCATCGGACGACGCTTCCCGGCGCAGAAGTTTGTTTAGAGTAAACTGCGCATCATCTTTAAACTTGCGATAGAATCATAGAATGACAGAATCATAGAAACCTAAACAGTAGGAGTAATAAGATCAGGATCAAAGAACGAGGCAGTCAGTTACCATAGATATTGTCTTTGAATTTTTTGCTGACTCTGGCGCCAAATTAGAATATGATAAAGACTAAAACACCTTTTATCGTAGTTTTTGTCTTAGTTTTGCATTAATTGTAGTTCAAAGGAAAAAAGGATTAATCAATGTGTCTCTAACTCCTTTTCGAAATAATAATTAATTAGATTAATGAACTTAAATTCTCAAATAAACTACCAAGTGATAACTCTTAATTTATATTAATTCATATTTACAGATTCATCCTAGCCACGGTTGCCTTTACATTGCATTTGATGGATTAGAATACGGGTTTAAAAAATATGAAATATTCGTAAGAAAAGAATAAACTTCTGTATTTTGTACTCAGTTTACAAAAAAAGTAATAAATAGTAAGGAATAACTTATTTTACTATTCCCAAACTTTATTTAAGTATAATGAATTAAACATAAATGAGTTCATTGATTAAAATGCGCACGTATTTTGCGTAGGTGTTTTTTACTCCTTGGGTTTGCGTGCGAGTGTTTTATAACGACCTACATACACACTTAACTATTTACTATTATAATTTTAGACGAATGCGTATTAGTCATAATGTAGTAAAAAATACATTCGCAACAATTTTCGCATTTCACAAGCAACGTTTTAAACAATTGTGTTGCAGTAAAAAATTTATTGATTGTGAGGTAAGTCAAATTGCCAATTTAATTATCAATAAACGGTTTAAATAATTTAAATTTTAGATAGAATATTTGCTGCCTAAATAAGTAATATATTTTTTTATTTGGAATATAATTATTAATCGTGTCTAAATGCTCGCACAAAACTTTTGTTTAAATTGCAATAGGAATACATGTGAAAATTCCAATTTTCTGTGCGAAAAGTGTGAAAATGAGCATGAAGGATGGACAGAGATGGACAAAACAGAAACACACAATAAAAGAGACAAGAAAGGAAACAAGCTGCAAAGAAAGTGTATTGTGAAAATAAGAAAATTAAAAAATGACTATCGAATGCTAAAGATTATGCAACGTGATATAGAAAACTTGAAGAAAAGCGTAATACGTTTACAAATAGATATGGAAAAGGTTCAAGATAATGTAGAGTGTTTAAAACAAAATCAGCACAACGAAAAACTAACAAGAATTACAAATAAAGTAAGTATTTATATCGCACGTACTTATAAATAATTTCTTTTGCAACTTTATAATACCTGCGTTCTTATTGGTTCGTTCACTGATATTTTAAAAACTTAGAAATAGCTTCCGGTTAGGGCATATTTAACCACTATCTTATACCGTGTAACCTCATCTATGAGTATAATCATAGAGCATAGATTAGATCATAGAGTCTAATCATAACCCAATTTTTTTTTGTTTTGTTATGTATAACAACAAACTTTATTTAACATTAAAAATGTAATTATGAAGGTATACGCACTAATTAAATAATATGCATTGTATTTTAATTGATCTGTTTTTTTAAATTTACAGAATAAACCCCTAAGTACAAGTACACCAGTTAATAAGCCTTCAGGTAGGCCTCAGTGTCGTAATACCTACAGGGACGTTGGAGACCCCTTCAGCCCCATTAATCGAAATTACAGTAATAATATGTCTTCACGTGTTTGTTCCACTTCAACTACAAAAGAAAAATCAGATTCAGAAAGTGATAGAGATTTAAGTTCTACTGATGATAATGTTGAAGAACATTCTGTTAATAAATTAAAAAAATTCTCAGCTCACTCAGGCATACGTATTGATGAAAAGATTCCTGAATCATCTAATTTTCCACTGCTTAGTTCAACATTTTTATACATACTTGCTTTAATGGCTGTTACTGTTGCAGTAAGTTATCAAACATTCTTCAGTTACTCTTCTGACCCTACAGTAACACTAAGTATAACTGATTTAAAGAATAACTTTCCTCACCAACGACTAGATACGTGGATTGCCATTGAGAGTGGTATTCATGATATACAGATAATGAACAAACCATCAGTTTTTCTAATTATTTATGATGATCAAACACAAGATGTGTTAAATAAGTTCATAAAAGATGTTTCTGTGTTTGCCAGCTGTACTTTAAATGGCAACTGCAGTGTTAATCCTGTAGAACTTAAAGGAGAAAAGTTACATGATTTACAAATCCAAGATTACGGAATTCTAATAGATAAATATCATTCTCAGATACAACAGAAAAGTGTAATGATAATATATAATTTAGAAGAAGTTCCAGCTGAATTAGCCCAAGCCTTTCATGTATTTTGTGATGAATATAATCCTCTTGTTAGAAAGTCAGCCTATTTCTTTACCATGAAAATTAAAAATGATGAAGGAAGCACCATTTCTGACATTGAAGGGATATTGAGACAGAAGTGGTACTCATTGAAAGACGATTTATTTGACCCTTTGTTTACCAGAATTTCTAGTATGATCATTGTAATACAACCCGAAGATAGTTAAAACATTGTCTTACTAAAATGTACAAATCATATACATGTAATTTCATTTAATATCATTTGTATTATTTAATATAAAATGATTTTATTGTAACGATAAAAAACATTTTTGTACTCTAATAAAGTCTTGTTTTCATGATTGATTGCTTTCTTTTATTGTTTATTAAAAGAAACGAAAAAACAATTCAAATGTGATAAAAAAGCTTTTTATTTAAATAATTCTTACTATAACATATGATACAGGCTATTAACAAAAAAGAAAAAGAATTTTACACATGTATATATGAAGCATACATACAAAATTATTTTACAAGCCTAAAATTACATGACGAGAACCATCTCAATTCAATAACTGTTTTTAATTGATAACTACCATTTCAATAAATTGCAATTTATTTCAGTTAATATGTACAAAAAAAGACCGCAAACACTCATTAGACCTTTGTATACACGTATAAAATTCCGCATTAAAAAGGGCGTTGGAAGAAAAAAATGTAAAGCTAAAATTCATAATTTAGATACATATTAAAACTCATCGTCTACAAAACAAGATTTTTTTTATAAAAATCCAGTAACTTTATTATAAATATTAACAAATTGGTTGCGCAGTTGCATAAAGGTGACGTTCTTTTTGATAACAAAAATATTTCCTGCAGCACGGGCATTTAGGGTACTCAAAATTGAAACCCACCCATAGGTACCGACTGATCCGCACCAAAATGGTACTGCTGTTGTTCAGCATCCACTGCAGGTGCCACTCTGACATCCTCTTCTTCGGTACCAAAGAAATGTTCAATTATATCGAAAGCTTTCTGATAAATTTCCATATTTTCATGCGATTGTAAAAATTCAATTTTGTCAAGGCCTAAAAAGAAGTATTTTAACTGAAGTTATTGACCCTAAAGTTCGTAGTCTCTACAGTTGTCTTTATTTCCCTTGAAGATATAATCAAAAAAGGAACATACCATAGCATTCTTCTATCAATACCGCATACGGGTTAGTGCCTCCGTGTTGCTTGGCATCTTGGTCGCCCAACTTTAAAATATTTTCCAATCCGTTTAATGCAACTTGTACAATTTTCGAATCCATTACGGTCAAAAGGTCGCAGAGAGGACCTACACAGCCCTGTTTTACCAAATAACGGATCTGTTCTGGGGTGCCACCGCTCGTCGCATTCGTAATCGCCCACGCGGCTTCCTTCCTTGTTTTAAATTCTGCTTTACCCAGAATCTCTATCAACACTGGGAATATGTTAGCGTCTATAACAGCCTACAAAACAAGAATAAGTTATTTCATATTTATATTTTTAAAAAATCGCCATGAAGGAAGGTAATTATATATTTTCACCTGAATTTGTTGTCTGTTGCCAGCTGTGATGTTGCTGATTGTCCAACAAGCCTCTTTTCTCACAGATTCCTTGGTCGAACTTAGAAGATGATGTAAGCATGGTAAAGCATTGCAATTTAAAATGACTTGAGTCTGCACATCGTCGCCTGTTACTATATTGCCAACCGCCCTTAATGCAGCGGACACAACCGAAGGTTGGGGATGCATTAACAATTCCACAAGTCTCCTGCATACTCCTGCGTCAATTACAGCCTAGAGATTGAATCATTTATCAATGGTATACAAGAAAGCCCTTCAAAGAATTAATAACCTGAATTTTGTCATTGGGACCATCAGAAAGGTAGCTAAGAGCCCAGCAAGTATCCGAAAGTACATCGGCATCGTTGTGGAACAGCAATCTGGCGAGAATGGGGAGAGCCGGGGATACTTTTGAGAAATCTGGGGGTGGGTTTTTACCTCGACATAAATTCGAAAGAGCCCAAACCGCGTTACGTGTCATTGTAAGCCTAGATGATTTACTTAACAATCTACAAAATATGCAAGCTTTTATTAAGTCTACTTAAATATAAGAACCAATAAGCTTGCTTAATTTGCTACTGTGCAAGATGTCTCACAATGACTTACTTAACAAAAGTACATAACTAAGTCAGATTAACATCTGATTAATTTCTGCTTAAAAAGATGAATGTGTGGTTTAAGACATTCTACCTATTTTAACACTGCTTATTAGATAGGAAAATATTTTTGTAAAAATTAAAATAAAAAGCTATTAACTGTAAAAGTGGCACCAATATTCCTGATTCCAATACATGGTTTCTACACTCTGGAGAGTCACCAGCAATGTTACCCAAGGCCCATACAGCCTGCTCTTGAACATCTTCATAAGGACTATTTAGAAGTGCTATAAATATTGGTACAGCTCCTTCTTCAATTACCATACGTGTTTGCTGAGAAGTCCCAGAAGCAATATTTGTCAAAGCCCATGCTGCTTCAAACTAGAAATGGATTTTTATACATATCTGCATAATTTTAATACAGTAAATGTGTTGAACTGTACCTGCAATGTACAATTATTGGTGTTTTTGAGAAATTCAACAAATCGAGGTACAATTCCTGTCTGGATAACTTCATCTATAGGAGGATTAGGTTCTCTACTTAACAGTTTTCTAAATTTTTGTGTAGCATTTAATTGCTCATCTACATTGTCACTGTATAAGGCCTGTACCAACTGGGGAGTGATCCCTGGAGACATAGGCGATGCTACATCTCCACCTTCAGTCTGTAAGACAATACATCATTGTATTTACTTAACTAAATGTTTTTTGAACAGATCATACAGTAGGTAAATCAATTTTGCAAGATGTCATGTTCTGGGTTCAAGAGAAAAAGCAATCCAAATACACTTAATATTTATACTTTTACATGAAAAATTAACAAATTTAACTTGATAGACAGATATAAATATGTCTACTAAAAAATATGAAGGTTAAGTATATTTACTTCAAAGTAAAACAATAAAATACCTGCAAGGGATCAGTATTATCATCAGGTAAAAGGGCAACATTAACATTTCGTCTTTTGTACAATTGCTGTTCTCTTTTTTGCTTGCGTAACTGTAGTCCTTCCTCCTCCCGTCTACGCCTTAATTCGATTGAATCAAGGGCTGAATTCTTATATCGATGCTTGTGTGCTGAGGCAGACATCTAAAAAAAAAATAAATGATTCTTGCAATGCTTCAAATACATAAATATAAAGATGACTCATACCATAAGTTCTGGTAAAATTAATTTGTTATTTCTATAAAGATGTATAGCAAAAGGTTTAATTGCTGGTTGCGCAGTTGCATAAAGGTGACGTTCTTTTTGATAACAAAAATATTTCCTGCAGCACGGGCATTTAGGGTACTCAAAATTGAAACCCACCCATAGGTACCGACTGATCCGCACCAAAATGGTACTGCTGTTGTTCAGCATCCACTGCAGGTGCCACTCTGACATCCTCTTCTTCGGTACCAAAGAAATGTTCAATTATATCGAAAGCTTTCTGATAAATTTCCATATTTTCATGCGATNAAACATTGGGCACCTTTTTCCATGCTGCAAGGAACCATACTTATTTTAGGGAAGTTTTATTTCTTAATTTTTAAGATTGATATGATAGATGAGATCATTGAGATGCATTGTGGAAGTAGCTAAGTAATAACAACCGTGAAGAATATAGTTTTTCTTTAACACAAATATTCTTTATGTTTTTAATTGCCTGACAAGATGAGATTCAAATAAAATTAAATAAAAACATTATCATAAGCAATAGCCTTACCATAAAAACATCGGACACAAATCTTGAGGAGTTCTATTGGGTGCATGATAAATTTAATTTTCCCTCATTACTATTGCTGAAATATTTGAAATAATTCAAACATAAAGAACGCTTGTGAACTGATTAGAAGATGGAAATATAGCATATAAAACCATTTTCCCACATAATCTTTTGGTAAAATCTATAAAATGAATTAAACTTAAAAAAGCGCTCGTAAAATTATTCGCAGATAGGAAGTATTTATTAAGCATTGAGAAGTGATTACTATGTAAAAAATTTCGTAGAATCTCAGGGTACCAAGGGCTCTAAAGTGCGATGTCAAATAACCACATTCCGGCACAATTTTAGGTAAAATATGCAGAATAATTTCAACTTAAAAAAGCGCTCGTAAAATTATTCGCGGTTGGAAATAGTTTACTAAGCATTGAGAAGTGATTACTATGTAAAAAAGTCCGTAGAATCTCATGGTACCAAGGGTTTTCAAGTGCGATGTCAAATAACCACTTTCCGGCACAATTTTAGG